CTGTCCACAGGGGGCCAGGGCGATGGCCAGGGATCCGCTGTCCACAGGGCCCAGGAGGCTCTGATGCTGAGCTCCCCAGGGCCACCTGCTAAGAAGCACTGTGCTCTGAGCTTGAAGGGGAGGGCGGGTTAGGCGGGGAGGGCCATTTCTCTCCTGGGCGAGGACCATCCTCCCCACTCAGGCCCTTCTGCACACCCCTTCCCTAGGGACCTGCCGTCACAAGGAACCTCTGCTGGTTTCCAGATGCCCACTGCACCTGCGAGGGGGGGACAGTGTGGGGTGCTGGGTTGGCAGAGGTGACTCAGAGGGCAGTCAACAGACTCAGTAGGAATCTGGATTGTCCTCTTATCCTGGGAGGTGTTTCCCTCCTGGGAGCCAGGAGATCTGATCTTGTTTACGACCAACTCTGGTAGAGGTGAGGAGACAGACGGGACAGGGGCAGGAGAGGGCACTGGGCGATTTGGAACTTCTGTAGCATCTAGACAAGACTGTGTGGTGGGGACCAGCTCATCTGGTTACCAGAACTCCCCATTTTCAGCTTGGAGGTCTGTGTCTGGGGAGCCCTCAGTCCGGGGCTTGGTGGGGCTCTTTGCATGGGTGTGGGTGGGGTAGGGACTGGGCACTGCCTTCTGGTCTCCACAGCCTGCAGGAGGGGACAGCATGTCAGAGCCTCCGCCTGCATGAGGACACGGGGTCACCCCCTTGCAGGAAGACAACCACGCATGCACTGTGGGTCTGCATGTGGGCAGCAGGCCCCGGGGTCCTAGGCCGTCTGCTGCAGCTCCCTGGGCTCGGGGTGGGTGTGGTGCCCGTGTTTGAACATGTCGCTGGGCTGGAAGAAGCCCTCTGTGAGTGAGGGGAGCCACCAGCTCCACGGAGCATCTTAATTAGGCTGGGCCAGGCCCCCCGCAGAAACAGACCTTTGGAGCAGAAGACGTAGATACGCATGTTCAGGGCTGAGCAAGCTTGGCTCGAGACCTGCAGCTTTGGGAGGCCCCTCTGGTACCCCCTGGTAAGCATCCTGTGCCTGTGAGACAGTGCTGTCCCACACTCCTTGATGGGGCATCTTAGCGCTTCCCACGGGCAGTCGCCTACCCTGCGGCCTGGTGAGCTGGCAGACAGGTCTGCCAGCTGCCCACCTTGCCCCTCAGGCCCGGAGGCTGCAGAGACACTCCCTCTCCTGTTTCTGTAAACGCTGGTGTGTGGGTGCCAGGCCGCAGGCACAGCCGTCGTTAATAAGATTTTCCTGTCCCTGGCCTCTTTGTTTCCCTAATGACTGAGCTTTTTCCTCCTGCACCACCACATGCTCCAGGAAGTGGGAATTTGGCAATTAAGGCCTCTTTTTCTCGGTTCTGCTCCTGGCTTGCCTGAATTTGTGATCTGGGCCGATGAGATGCCTCTTCTGTTTCTACGCAGACTTCAGCAGGTGGCTGACCCAGCCAGATGCCCTGCTCTGCTCAGTCATTTGAAAATAATGTTTTAAACCCAAGACATCATCTTATAAATCTAGTGCCATCTACATTGGCTCCCACTTTCCACCTGGACCAAGCATGTTCCTGGGGCAGCTCAGGTGAAGGCCTCAGGGTCAGCTGGTGGCCATGTCCAGGGGGTTTCTTGCTGCTATTTGTAGGGTGGGCACAAAGAATGCTGCTCCTTGGGGAATGTAGGGAGGGCTTCAGACCCTCCCAGCAGGTGGGACCTGAGCGGGTCAGACCTCCTGGAGCCTGCCTGTCCAGATGCCGCCCACCCCCAGCCTCAGCTTTCAGTAGGATTCATAGGAAACAGCTTTTCCTGCAAACAGCTGTGAGCATGGAGCACTGAGATCCAGGACAGAACAGGGATGGCCGCAGTGCCTCCCACACACCACCCAGCCCTCCCTAGCTTGTGGCCTCTCCGGGTTGGTGAGCGCGTCCAGGGTGGCAGGCTGCCCTGAGAACTCTCAGGCCAGGCCTTCTACCTACCTACATGGCCACCCTCTCCCTGACCTTTTCCTATTTGTACCAGGGACTTAACGCAGGGGCGCTTAACCACTGAGCTACATCCCCAGCGCGTTTTGTGTTTTGTTTTGAGTCAGGGTCTTTCCAAACACCCTCTCCCATCGTACCTCCTACTGGCAGGTGTGTGTGAGTCGGGCATAACCCTGCTCCGCTCAAAGCACAGAGGGAGGCAGGGCCAGGAGGTGGCTCCACTAACCTGCCAGGTAGGCCCATCCCTGTGGACACCCAGGACAGCAGGGGACTGGAGTCTTGCTGGGTGACCCTGGCCTGGCACAGGGGGCACAGGGGCCACAGATGCCAGAGCAGCTTGGGGCCAGCCAGCTGACCCCAGGAGGCCCTGGAAGGGCTGTGTGCAGCAGCCTGGGGAGTAGGCACTGGCTCTCGTCCAGGATGGTCTGTCTGAGCCGAGACACTGGCAGGGCTGTCACGGTGGGACCCTGCTGATGCCAACCTGCCTGTTTCTATGGTAACTGCAGATCTGTGCCCTGTCTGCGTGTGTGATTGTGTTCTGTTCTCCTTGTAGATGGAGGAGATAAAATTTAAAGACAGAGCAGTCTTCGTGCTGGAGAGAGAGTTAGGGGTCCAAGCCGGGCATGCCCAGAGACTGCAGCTGCAGAAAGAGGCTCTAGATGAGCAGCTTTCCCAGGCCAAAGAGGCTGAGCGGCACCCGGGCAGCCCCAGACGGGAACTTCCTTATGCAAGCGGTGCAGGAGACGCCTCAGACCACTCGGGAAGCCCTGTAAGCACCCCCGGGCCTCGCCCTGGCCCGATCCGAGTACAGACACACGGCCCTGCAGAGCTCCCTGGGGCGTCCGGAGCCCAGTCCAGCCAGACTCTCTTGACCCTGGGGCCCTCAGCTCGTCCAGCTCTGCCCAGGAGGACTGGCAGTTTGTCCTCTTCCTTCCTCCCCAACACCGCTGGTGCTCTGGCTTGTCCCCTCCTGGGCCCCGGTCCCCAAGGATCCCAAAGTACCAGCTTTGCTGGCGCTGGTCCTGCCTTGGCTGTGGGAGAGGCGGTGCTCTGAGCAGGTGCTGCTCTGGCTTCTGGCTGCTGCCCGCCAAGTCCCTGGCTGGGCCTCCCGTGGCTGACCTTGTGCTCATCACCAGCCATCCTCCCACATGCTTTTATGTGACCATGACGTTTTCTGCTCCTCCTCGGGCTGCTAATGCCCACCTGCATGGGTCCAGCAGCAGATGCCCAGACTGCAAGCCACCCATCTTCTCATTGCCACACCTCATTCAGATCCCTCCACAGTGGCCTGCAACATCCTGGGGATCTAATGCCACGGACCCTCCACGTGGCCCCTCTGGGCCTTTGGTCCCTAGCCTCTCCTGCACCCATTGACTGAGGAACTCAAACCATGTCCAGTATCTCCCTGGACATACTTTTGTTTGACTCAAGGACAAAACTGTTAAAGTTGGGCCAGCCCTGGGACAGTGACATGGCAAGACTAGAGACTAGCATCGTGGGGGCAGCGCAGTCTAACTGATTAGAGCCAGCCCTTCCTGCTCCAGAGAGCCCAGAACTTCAGGCAAAGGTTTTCACTGACTTTTTAATGAAGTTCCAGTGGTTTTGAAAGTGGCCTTCTAGAGACTCAACCTGAGGGAGCACACTTCCTGGGAGAGCAGCTTTTCCAAGTCTGCAGCAGTGTCTTTTCCTCTGCTCACCCGAGAACGTGCTGTCCACCTGGCAGGCAGGGCAGACCCCTTCTGAAGTGCGGCAGGCAGTGGCCGGAGGAGAGCATGCAGCTAGTCTTGCCCGTGTGTCCCACCAGTGTGTCCCTGCCCGTGTGTCCCCACGTGTGTCCCCACCCTCGCCCTCCACTTTTGCACACCCCCAGACATTCCCGCTTCCGTCTGTCCCCCCATGCAGTTTGCAGAGCTTGGGCTACACCCACCCGCCAGCCGCTGTGTGGAAGAGCAGGCGGCCGAGGCGTCCAGGGTGCTGCGATTCGCGAGGTGCTGTGTGCAGGGAACAGTTGTTTGCAGTTGATCTTTGTTTTAGGAACAGCAGTTGGATGAAAAGGATGCCCGGCGCTTTCAGCTCAAAATCGCAGAGTTAAGTGCCATCATCCGTAAGCTGGAGGATCGCAACGCCCTGTTGTCGGAGGAGAGGAACGAGCTGGTGCGTGCCCAACAGGGACGGTTCTGGACCTTGTGGGACTGTGGCTGCATGGGGAGATGCGGGGTCCACTTCCACAGTCCCTGTGGAAAGGGCAAGTGGTGACAGCTGGCCTTGCCACTGAGCCCCTTGGCCTGTCCACCTTTGGCTCCCGCATGCTGGTTGGCCAACCCTACTCTGTGTCCTGGGGCAGAAGTACCCTGAACTCTGCACATGATCTGGGGTGGGAGAGGCCACTGTCTTAGCTGTCACCCTCACCATAAATCTTCAGCTCAGAGGGTGTGTGAGCTGTGTGGATGCTCAGGGGCAGGGGGTGACCACAGTTCTTATGGGCAAGCAGAGCCTTGGCCCAGACTGCTGGCCTTCAACCTTATTCCCGTCTGTAGAATGGATGCCTCAGCTCGCCTGGGCACTGGGTGGGTGGAGGGCAGCCGTCAGCTAGGGACTCCCCCTAGAGCCGGAAACTTTCCTCTTTGCAAGCACAGTTGGCTTGCAAAGTTGGCTCTGGGCTTACAGGCTCTGCATCCACAGGTACCATCCACCTGCAGACTGAGGGTTTTTAAAAGTCAGCTCTGTACTGGACAGGTGCAGGCCTTCCTCCTCACCACTGTCCCCAAGACAGGACCACATGACAACTACTTTCACAGCATCTGCTCTGCATTGGGTACCATCAACAACCAGACATGATGTGGCGTAGGCAGCAGGAGGTGCCTAGGGTATCTGCAGACACCGCTGCTTTCTACCAGGGACTTGGGCACCTGTGGATTGGGGTTTTCCATGTGGCCTGGATCCATTCCCCCTGGACACAGAGGGATGACCGTGGTGGGCTGCAGTCATGTCATGGATTCGATCTGGACCTCTTGCTGGCTGTATGGAGTCCAGCCATCAGTTACGTAAAACATCACATAATTAACTTCTCTTGCAGTTAAAGCGTTTAAGGGAAGCAGAGAGTCAGTACAAGCCATTGTTGGATAAAAACAAACGCCTTACTCGGAAAAATGAGGACTTGTCTCACACTTTACGGAGAATAGAAAGCAAGCTGAAATTCGTCACCCAGGAGAACATAGAGATGGTAAGGCCCCTAGGTCTGCAGGGGCAGCTGTGCCAGCTACTGGCAACGCTCCACTCTGCTCCATAGCCTAAGGACGCAGTGGAGCAGGCGGGGCAGCCCCATGTGCATTCCTGGGTCAGATCCCCAGTGAGCCCACCCCAGGAGAGAGGCCTCAGGTGAGGACCAGCCACAGGAGGGAGGGGCGGGGTCACGGGAAGCCACCAGGCCATCACATGCCCCCTCCCCTGGGCCTGTCTGTACATCCTGACCCCAGGGGCTTAGTAAGCAAGCTCTGACTCTGAAAACCCTGGGTATAGGTAGCAAGGACCTGGGGCCCCAGGGGGAGCAGGCCTGGCACAGAGCAGTGAGCCTGGGAAGGGGAGGCCCCCCCAGCACTGAGCCAGGCTGGGATCTGCTCGGGAGGGGGGCCCAGCCATGTGACACGGCCTGCTTGGCGTTGCAGAGGCAGAGAGCCGGGATCATCCGGAGACCCAGCTCCCTAAATGACCTGGATCAGAGTCAGGGTGAGAGGGAGGTCGACTTCCTGAAGCTTCAGATTGTGGAGCAGCAGAACCTCATTGACGAGCTCTCCAAGGTGACCACATCCTGCCCACCCTGCCCCTGGGGCGGTGGGGGGGGAGGCCAGGCTGGCAGCAGCCATGGGCCACCTGGGCTGGATCCCCCACTAGTCACTGGTCCTGGTGACCCTCCCTAGGTAGGTCTCTGTGCCTGGGGCTCCTCCCCCCCCTCCCCCAGCTCAGGGTTCCAGGCCGCAGCACCGCCTCTGTCACTCACAAGCCTTGATAGCCCTGAGGCTCCAGACCACACAACTCCCTCTCCCCGTTCCCAAGGGAGGCCACCGGCCTCAGTCAAGGTGTGGGCAGGGCTGGGCTCCCTCCAGGGCCTGGGAAGGGTCTGCTCTTTTCCTTTGGCCACCTCCAGGGTCCTGGCCTTCCTTGGCTTGTGACCACCTCATTCCAGCCTCTGCCTGATTCTTCCTGTGGCCCCGTGTCTTATTTGAATCTTCTCCTCTCCTCTCACAGCCACAGCGTCACTGGGTTGGAGCCCACCCCCATCCACACTGAGATCATCTTTAACTTAATCACACCCGAGACCCTGTTTCCAGATCAGTTCCCATGCCCAGTTAGTGAGGATGGAACTGTGGATGCGTCTCTTAGGGACCACCACGCAGCCCCTCCCCTGCTCTCTCCTGGGCTCCCCTCACCCCAGCACAGGTCTGCAAACAGTGCTGCAGGAAGCCCTCCTCTTACTCTGACTGGGGCGGCTCTGCCTCTTGTGGGCTCTGGCAGACTCCATGCTGAGAGCATTCCCAGCGAGCTGCCTTGGTCAGCAAGCAGCAGGACAGCTGTGCCTCTCGGCCACTGGCCCGTCCTAGGCAACACCTAAGGCCATCTCCAAAGTCCATGGGCTGTGGGGTGTGGTCTCCCCAAGACAGCCTTCCCTGACCTGCCTGAGTCCTTTTCTCACTCAATTACAAATGCTCATCAGTGTGAACGACAGTAATAATTTATGGGGGAACAGGAAGAGGTTGAAATCTTGATAAGTCACAAGTATACGTCCAATACCGCAACTTCCAGAAGGGCTTTGTCCAGCTGCCAGGGAGTGAAAGGCTCAGCCACCTTGGACAGAGGCTCCTGGGGCTGCGCGGGCTCAGGGAGCCTCTGGGACCAGCTTTGGAAAGGAGGGAGGACAATTGGGGCAGAACCTTGCTCTCAGGCCAGGGTTCAGGACCCGCCTCCTCTGGGCTCTGTAGGAGCAAGTCGGCACCTTCAGTTCCAAACCTGCCATTTTCCTTCTAGACCCTCGAGACTGCTGGCTACGTGAAGAGTGTGCTGGTAAGTACCAGGGCTGAAGCTGCTCACAGCCTCCAGGGGGCGTTCTGCAGAGCGGAAGGACCGGGAACAGCGCCTTCTTCCCCTCCCCCACACGGTCCCTACCATGCAACCTGAGGGGCCTGGTGGCTCCTGAGCGCAGAGCTCACCTAAGTGGGGACTCACTCATCTCAGGCTGGTGGAGAAGGGGCCCCCAGGCTCCTGCGCAGATACCTTGTGTTTATGTCCCAGGAACAGTTACCATGTTGAGACCACGTCACGATGATGACGTGGCCCTTCAAGAAGCTGGTGGAACTGGCACCTACCTAAAAACCTCTCCAACTGGTTTTTGCAGGAGCGCGATAAGCTTTTAAGGTTTCGGAAGCAGAGAAAGAAAATGGCAAAACTCCCCAAGGTAAAGAAGCAGTGTGTGTGCGTGCGTGCTGGTGTGTGCATGCGTGTGTGCTTGCTTGTGCTGAAAAGCTCTTGGGAGAGAGTCCCTTCCTTTACAAAGGGAAAGAAAACACTTTTATTCCTTCTCAAAATTGTCAATCAGAAATGACCAAATAGGATTCAAAGTAAATACTCTGCTTGTGGCCTGAGAGCCTGGCCCAGAACTAAGACTCCTGTGCGCGTGGGGGCCAGGGCGGCTCAGGACATGGCTGCTTTCATAGCTTGGCAGAGGCTGGTGAATCTGGTCCAGAAGCTGTAATTTGGCAGTTCACAAGGTCAGCACGTGCCTGGTCTGTGCACAGGCTCAGCTCAACGGCTCAGCCCCCCACCCCAGTGTCTTCCCTGCCTGGAACAGGAGACTGAATCCGTGTTGGCATGGGGCACACAGCTCCGAGGACAGCCGGCCTGCTGCCCCCGTCCTCGCTGGGCCATGCACCCCTCCTGGGCCTGCCCCAGCATTAAGTGTCCCCTGGCAGCTTATGCAGGCTGCAGTAGGCTGTGCCCACAGCTGCACACAAGCCCCCCAGCACTGCAGCCCTAGGAAGTTCAAAGCCCTGGGGGAACTTTCTGGAGTGGGACCCTTCTCGATATGCTGGTGATTTTTCATTCAGCTTTCTCTGAGCTGCAGCTGGGTTGTTTTTAAACACTCGGTGGCCCCTGCCTGGCCACTTCAGTGTTCCCAGCCACAGCCGTGGCTCACCTGGCCCTGGAAAGGCCCAGGAAGGGAGGAGGCTGCTGGCCTCTCTCCTGGATCACTGCAGGAAGCTCAGGGATTGTCCAGAGGCCCCACCTGCTGCCCCTGCTGTCTTGGTGCCTCTGTGAGAAGCAGGAGGGAAACCAGGAAGTCGGCAGGAGGGGCTGGGATGACAGGGGACCTAAGTGAAGCCGGAGGACCCCAGCTTGTGGTAGTCACCGACCAGCCATGATCTGGAACAGCAAGATGTTCCTGTGGCATGGGCGGGGTGGGTTAGCAGGAGGAGCGTCCAGAGGCTGCCTGGACCCAGGAGGATTGAGGTGGAGTGTCAGGGCACAGACATCCAGAGGACCACTGGTGACACAAGGGCTGGAAATAAAGCAAGAACCTCAAGTCTGTGCTCGTCAAGTTTGCCCACTTGTGGATATTTCAGTGGAGGATCTGGGAAAGACTGGGGTACAGGGAAGTCCTTTCCCAGAGAGGCCAGGGCCTAGCCGCCAGTGTCAGTTGGTGGCTCAGCTGGAGCGGCGGCTGGTCAAGGGAGAGGAACTAGCACAGCCCTGCTCAGCTGGAGCCGGAGAATGCAAGTGCGGGGAGGGAAGAGCCACCATGGTCCTTGGGGCCACTGGTGGCCCTGGAGCCCAGGGAGGAACTTTCCTGGAAGGTCTGGCCGTGGACTCATCAGAGACCCGGTGGCCACCATGGCCATTACATTGACCAGAACAGACAAGGAAGGCAGGGTCTCTGTGTGCAGGTGAGAGGTCATCAGAGACCCGGTGGCCACCGTGGCCATTACATTGACCAGGACAGACAAGGAAGGCAGGGTCCCTGTGTGCAGGTGAGAGGAGGTGGCTTCTGAAGTCCGCATTGTCTAAAGCCAGGGTTTCGGAAGTCCAGAAGGAGGGCAAGTTGGGGGTCCCTGAAGGCAGGGCTTCTCAACCTAGCTGGTGGAGGACCGGCCCTTGTTCACACCCTCTGTCATGGACTGGAAAGGGCACCGCATGTCAGGGCAAGTGCTTGCTACTGGCAGGGGTCAAGTTCAGAGGCCAAGTCCAGGAGTGGCTCAACTGTCAGCCTCCTGGACATCTACATTCCACCCTCTGCCAGTACCTTCTGGGTGCACCAAGATGGCGCACTCATACCTGGTCGGCGTCTTGGCCAGAAGTAGGACAGCCCAGTGGGCCCCTCCAGGGCGGCCTGGGATAGATGTGGGAGAGCACTGCAGGTGGGGCTGTGGGGAGGGCGGGAGGGGCTGGGGGCTGCTGGCCGAGCGCTGGCCTGGGTCTGCGCCAACGCCTTGCCTTTTGGCCAGCAGCCGGTGGTGGTGGAGACCTTCTTTGGGTATGATGAAGAAGCGTCCCTGGAGTCCGACGGCTCTTCCATCTCTTACCAAACTGACAGGACAGACCAGACCCCGTGCACTCCTGACGACGACCTAGAGGAGGTACCGTGAGTCTCCCACAGCGGCTCCCGGGCAGCCTGGGCCTGAGGCTGGCGACGGGTGGGACCCGGGGCCAGGCCCGCCCTCTGGATAGGCCTCCTGGTCCAGCCCCGGCAGCCCCTGCTCTTGTGCAGTGAGAAACCCCGAACTTGGTTTGGCTGCATGGTGGCTGAGGGTCACTCCCTGCGGTCACTGACGCCCAGTCACACTTCCTCACATCCTTGATCTTGAGCTCCTCCCAAGAGGGCCTCCCAGGAGGTCACCCTGTGCCAGGACCCAGGCCCTTAGAGACACTGTGAAGAGCTTTCTTCCTGGTAAAAACAGCTTCTGACAGCCTGGCTTGCAGAATGGTGGCTACCCTGAAGTCCAGCAGCCAGCTCAGTCCCAGGGCATAAGCTAGTGTTTGTCCAACTGGCCCAGCCCCTGGAGCTGTGGAGAGCAGGTAGTGGACCTGGTAAAGGCCACGGGGGCCTTCCCTGGAAGATCCTGGAGGATGAACCAAAGGCCATGAGCCTGCTCAGAAAACCAGTTGTCGGAGCAGACCACTGCTGGAAAGCCTGGGGCAGCGGGCTGGGGCTGGGCAGGGCTTCTGGGCTTGCTCACTCCTGGACAGGGCCCACGCTGCGAGCCTTGGCGTCCACTGGGACTCCTTCAAGGCTACAGCAGAAACATCTGATGTAAAGGAAAGAGAGAGAGAGA